ACAGACACATAGATACACACGTTCACATGCAGACACACGATCACACAGACACACATGTGCACACACATTCCCACGCACGCGGTCACACACATGTACACAGACACTTGTGTACGCACAGTCAAATGCAGATACGCAGACACACACGTGCACACAAATTCATATGCACACAGTCACACACACATTTCCACAGACACTTGTGTACATATATTCACACGCAGACACCCAGTCACACACACACACGTGCACACACATTCACATGCACAGAGTCACACATGCACACATTCACAAGACATGTGTACACATATTCACATACACCGTCACACAAGACACAGTCACTCACACGCACAGGTACACAGCCACATATGTGCACACACATTCACATACGTGCACGCACATTTACATACACAGACACGGACACACACATTCACAGACTCACATACATGCACATTCACACACAGACACACATGCACACCCATTCACTTGCACAGCCACACACGTGCACACACATTCACAGACATGCTCACACACATTTACACAAGACACACATTTATACGTTTACGCACATCCACACAATCACACACATTCACACACACGGATGTTCACACACAGAGGCACAGCCTCACATGTGTGCATACACACTTCCACACTGACTCACATGAGTTTTGAGCCTTTTGCTCTCCTTCTGGCCAGGTGGGGCCAAGTGGACAAGTGGGCAGGGGCCACAGCAGTCAGGATGCTGCTGGCCGCGGTGAGGAGTTTAAACAGGAGAGATACTTTCTTCTGAAAGTCAGCCCACCAACCGCTTCTATTCTCAGAGTCCTAATTATGGGCTTGCCCCCGGATGACTGCATGACACACATGACCTGGTCTCTTCCCCATAACCTTGGAAAGTCCATACTATTATTATCTCCATTTCTCAGGTAAGCAAACTGAGGCTGAGAAAGGCCAAGCCAAGCTTCTGAAGTGCTGGAGGAGGTAAGGGGTAGAGTTGGGATTTAAACCAAGGCGACCGTGGACTAGCTTGTCATGCCACCATGAAAAGGAAGGAAGGCAAAGAGAGACAGAGACAGAGGGGAGGAGGGGAGAAAAAAAGATACAAGAGATGGCATTTAGGTCAGATATCAACAATTTTGTTGTAGGTTCAATTTTGTGTCAACCTGTGCTGGGCACGATTCTTAGTGCCCTCCATATGTTAACATATTTAAATTTTACAACCACCCTACAAGGTAGATGCATTTGTTATCAATCCTGCCTGATGGACTAATATCTGAAGCACAGAGAGGTTAAGCGACTTGCCAAAGATCACACAGCTCATAAATGGCAGAGTTGGGATTTGAATCCAGGCCATGTGAGTCCTGCGTCTGCAGCCCTAACTGCTCTGTACCTAGCCTTGTATATACAAGGACCCCTGGGCACTTTGTCCCCCTGCTCTTTCTCCCTAGAACGTGCTGTTGATCTCTCTCCACTCTCAGCTGGGGAACTCCCTTCTCCTGAACCCCTACTCCCGGATATATGGGCCACCTGCCCCCTCCCCCAGGCTTGCTGCTCCGCCTCTCACTTCAGAAGACACTTGCTTGTGTCCCCATGTCCATCTCCCAGCCAGGACCGGGCTGGGCCATTCTCTGGGGACAGACATGTGTCCCCACCATGGCAGGCAGGGACCTGGGTGCAATGTCCCGTGGAACAGCAGAGACCATGCTGTCTTGTCCGTCACCTGTGTTATGGGTTGAATTGTGTCCCCCCATAAGATATGCTGAAGTCCTCACTCCTGTACCTGTGAACGTGAGCCTGATTGGAAACAGTCTTTAAAGATGTTAGCGGTTAGGCTGACACGAGGTCATACTGGAGAAGGGCGATCCTAATCACATATGACTAAAAACCCTTTGCCGTTGAGTTGATTCTGACTCCTGGCGATGCCATCTGTTACAGAGTAGAACTGCTCCATAGAATTTCCTTGGCTGTAATCTTTATGGAAGAGCCTTAGTGGTGCTGAGGTTAAGTGCTCGGCTGCTAACTGAAAGGTTGGCAGGAGAAAGATATGCCAATCTGCCTCCATAAAGATTTACAACCTTGGAAACCCTATGGGGCAGTTTTACTCTGTCCTATCGGGTTGTAGGAGCCCTGGTGGCACAGTGGTTAAGAGCTCTACTGCTAACCCAAAGTCTGCGAGTTCAAATCCACCAGCCGCTCCTTGGAAACCGTACAGGGGCAGTTCTACTCTGTCCTGCAGTGTTGCTATGAGTCGGAATTCACTCAACAGCAACGGGTTTGGTTTTTGGTTTATAGGGTTGTACGCGTTGGAATCAACTTGATGGCAACAGGTTTTTTTTTTTTTTAATCTTTATGGAAGCAGATCACCAGGGCTTTCTTCCACAGCACTGATGGGTGGGTTCGAACCACCAACCTTTTGGTTAGCAGTCAAGCGCAAACCATTTGTGCCACACGGGGACCTTAATCCTATGTGACTGGTGTCCTTATAAAAGAGAAGAGGCACAGAGACAGGGAGAGAGAGAGAGGACATCACATGCAGCTTCAAGTCAAGGAATACCTGCAGCCACCAGAAGCTGGAAGAGAAGCATGGAATGGATTCTCACTTAGCAGTCTGCAGAAGGAATCAACACGGCCAATACCCTGAGATTTGGACCCCCAGCCTCCAGAAACATGAGGCAAACAAATTTCTCTCTCTCTTTTTTTTTTAAAGCCACCCACTTTGTGGCGTTTTACAGCAGACCTAGGAGACTCACACAGAGCGTGCCCAGCCCCGGGGCCGAGCTGGCCCTCAGTACGTGTCTGTCGAACAAATGACTCTGCTAGTTCTAAGCTTTGATTTCTGGCCCCCAAACATCCCTCTCAAACTTGATCTGGGCTAATGGTGGGGTCTTGAGCCCAGGTGGCCGAGGACACTAGTTGTAAGGAGGGGAGAATTGTCGGGGGGGTATCAGAGAGGGGTCACTGAGGGCTGCTGGGTGGATGCAGGACACAGGAGGCCGGGCGGGGGTGGGGGCAAGACAGCCAGGAGGAGTCCTAAGAGGGACCATCACTTGGCCCAGGGGGCAGAGGAGGCGACCTGGGGCAGCTGTGGTGGGGATGGTGAGGAGCAGGTTGATTTGCGGGACACCCAGATGGTGACAGATGAGATAGAGGGTGGGGTTGGGGGAGCCATGGACAGTACCCGGGTCTCAGCTGAGTGTCTGGGTGGACAGTGGGTCTGCCCCAGCAATGGGGAGACAAGAAGGAGGGGGAGCTGGGAACAAATCCAGCTGGGCTGTGTGCAGGGCAGGACACGAAGATAGGGGTTGGAGAGAAGAGGGGGTGCTTCAGAGCGTTTGAGAATCTGCCCACCCACGTGCCCAGCGCGAGCCCACCCTGAGCCCACCAGCCCTACAGCATCCTGTCAAGTGGCTCGACCCCCCCATCCCCCATCTCATCTGTCACTTTCTGGGCTTCCCTCCTTCCCTTGCTGGGTCCCTGGCCAAGACTCAGGTCACACAAGCCAATACCTTGGGGGAGAAACCTCACCCACAGACTCTAGATGCCAAGGGGACCCAGGCACGTGGCCGCCCCACTTCCTCCCCTCTGCGGTATCAACACAAGTTTCTGCTCAGTTTGGGGGACAACAGGAAGTCCCGCGGATGTGGATGTGGTCGCAGATAGGGAGTGTAGGTTCTCCTTTCAAGTCTAGGATTCTCGAGTCAGGGGCGGGGCCTCACGCACGGATCCGGACTCTGCAGAAACCAGCAGGGCCTGCGGCCATAAACAATCCTCGAGCAGAACCCCACCCAGGCCCAGCCCAGACTGCAACCCCAACCCGAACGCCCTGTGCGCCGTGCGCCGAGGAACAACCCCCCGCACTAACTGCAGAACTCAGCCCCTGGGACAAGGGCCACAGGCGTCAGTACCTTCGTGACCAGAAGCCGGGGATCCTGACCCCACCTCATCCCAGACAGAGCCTTGGGCTCCCCCACCTGAGGCCAGCCTCTCCTGGTGTTGCGAGGGGGAGAAGGGAAGGGAATGGGGGGCAGTCGTTCGTTGTCGTCAACTGCAACTCATGGCAACCCTGTGTATAACAGAACGAAGCGTTGCCAGGTCCTGCACAATCTGCATGATCGTTGATATGTTTGAGTCCATTATTACAGCCATTGTGTCAATCCATCTCATGGAGAGTTTCCCTCACTTTTGCTGACCTTCTCCTTTACCAAACATGACGTTCTTTTTTAGCGATTGGTCTTTCCTATGACATGCCCAAAGTAAGCAAGCCAATGTCTCACCATCCTGGCTTCCAAGGAGCATTCTGGTTGTATTTC